AGATGGTTGAGACTGATACCGGGTGTGGATTTAGAATCGGGTCTTTTGGAGATGAACGGAAGGTGAGAATTTTGACTCTAAGGCTTATCGATGTTGGTAGAAAGGATAAATTACAGTTGAGATGGTTTCGTCCGGTTTATGTGGATTGGGGTGACGTGGGGTCACCTACAGGTGTATGTTGGATATGTGCATTCAGTGATTTGAAGATTTCGAGGCGATTCTTAGCACGTTCGAGGACGAACGTTTATTTAAGAGGGGGAGGATGTAACGACCCGGCCGGTCGTTTTGAAAATTTAAGTCCTGTTCAGCGGCATAAGGTCCTAAGCAGCTTCGTATTATGTGTATTGACTTGCGTGGTGGTTGAATTCAGTTACCGGATGATTCGAAGTCAAGTCGGAAGAAGAATGCAAGTTTTGGAAGCTTAAGCGGTAAGAGTTGACCGAAATTTGATTTTTCACTAAACGGCTCTGGAATGGGTTTTGGATGATTTTAACAACTTTGTATGGTGATTTTGGACTCATACGTGCGTCCAAATTTGGATTTGAAGGTACGTAGGATGATTTGAAGCATTTCGGCGAAAGTTGGAAAAGTTGAAGTTCAGAAAGTGGAGAGGGTTGACCAATAGTTGACTTTTGTGATATCGGGACCGGAATACGATTCCGAGAGTTGGAACATCTCCGTTATGTCATTTGGGACTTGTCTACAAAATTTGACGTCATTATGGGTTGGTTTGATAGGTTTCGGTATGCGTTTTTGAAGTTGAAAGATTTGGAAGTTCATAAGTTCGATTCATGGCGCGATTTGTAGTTTCAGCGTTGTTTGATGTGATTTGACACCCCGAGCGAGTCCGTGTTAGGTTATAGAACTTGTATGTGTGTTTAGACGGGGTCCCGGGGGCCTCGGGTGTGTTTCGGATGGGCTACGAGTTATTTCGTCCTATTTTGAAGTAATGTTTTCTGTCATCTGATGTTCTTCTTCACGATCACGAAGTTCCTTTCGCGTTCGCGTAGTGTTCTGCTGACCCGCCTCATATTTCCTCTTCGCGTTTGCATTCATGCTCTCGAATTCGCGAAGGTCTGCCTTTTTCCTCTTCTCATTCGCGTCTCTCTTCCCGCGTTCACGAAGGTATGCCACTCCATCCTTCGCGTTCGCGCACCGCTTCACGCTTTTGCGTAGCCCAGTCATTGGACCATCAAATTTTCCTCTCCGCATTCACAAGCCATCTTTAACATTCGCGAAGCATATCTGGGCAGCCTTCATTTTTCCTTTTTCGCGAACGCGAGTAGTCTTCCGCGTTCGCGATGCTTTAACACCTGGGCAACACAATATATCTTCCAAATCGAGGGTTAGACCATTTTTATCATATCTTGACTTTTAGAGCTCGATTTTGAGCGATTCTTTTTGGGTTTTTCAAGAAAATCGATTGGGTAAGTGTTGTTCACTTAGAATGTATTATATTCCATAATTTTATCTTTATTTTTATCATTTAATTTGTATTTTGAGTTGAGGAAAATGGAGGTTTTTGAAGAAAATTTTCAAAATGAAAAATCATTATTTGAGGGACGAATTGGTATCGGAATTTGATAATTTTAGTATGGGTGAACTCGTATCAAAATGGGTATTCGGGAGTTTTGAGATTTGTCAGATTCCGAGGTGCGTGCCCGGGGGTCGACTTTTGGGTTGATTTTTAGTTTTTGATAAAGATTGAGTCTTTATGATTCGGAATAGTTTCTTATGAGTTTTATTGATGCTTTGAGGTTATTCTGTCTAGATTTGAGTCGTCCGGAGGTTATTTCACCCGAGAAGTTCATTTTTGAGTATCGGTTTATCTTCTTTGAGGTAAGTATCTTGTCTAACCTTGTATGGGGGAACTATCCCTTAGGATTTGTGTCTTATATGCTAATTATAGTCCGTGTACGTGAGGTGACGAGCACATGCTCGGACTTATTTTTGGAAAATTGGCCTTTTAGGGTTCTTAGGTCCTTGTATTCACTAATTATGCAATTATTATGTTATGAATACATCTCTTAATTACTAGTTTCACCTCTACCGGCTTTAAATATAATTAATTGCTTCATGATCCACTCTTGTTGCTTATTTGATTCATCCGTGCCTTAACTGAAATTGTTATCTCTTCTATTGCCATATTATCCTTTCCTAACCGCTTATCTTTGTTTTAAGTTATAATTATCTCTTCTGTAATTGTTCACCCTTAATTGAGGCTATGATTATCTTTTTGCTACTTATCCTTATTGAATTTGTTGTATCTCTTTCCTAATTGCCCAACCTTAAAAGAAGTTATATATCCTATAATTTAGTTGACTTGTCCTTATTTCGAATTATTCGACTTGTGTTAGCTCCCTCGTTGTCGAACTATATATTGTGGACTGTTGTTAAATAGTATTTCCTTTCTTGTTGAGATGTTCTTATTATGACTAGCATTATCTATTGTGGCTACTCCTTGTAAATTAGTTCATACGTTTCTTTGAGTTCTGGAATTTCTGAGTTGACTTATTTGTCATACCCTTGTATTATTGTCATTGTTGCTGTTGTACTTGTTGTGGTGATGTATGAGGTTTCTACCGTGCGGTTGTTTTTATTGTGATGCACGAGGTTTCTGACGTGCGGTTGTTGTTATGGGGTTGCACGAGGTTTATGTTGTGCTATTGTTACTATTGATATTTGCACATACGGTGTGACAAGGATGGATATATATATATGTGGGTTGCGCATGTGGTGAGACAAGGTGGGAACATTGTTATGCACGTGTGGCGAGACAAGGCGGGTACTTACTATATTATTGCACATGAGGCGAGACAAGGTGGACTATGTCAGGGATTGATTTGTGATGACTTGTGATGGCCTGGGGGCATTCTTGTTGTTGATGTTTGTGTAGTGGTACACTTACCTATGTGAGCTTTATCTAGTGGAAAGTTGTGAGCAAACATTCTACGTGCTGTCCATTTCTTTTCCTATACTTACTAGCTGGCATGAATCATGTTAGGACACTTGCACAAGCATACACGTAGTTGAGCACTCTTATCGGTTAAGAGGTTTTCTTAATATTGCTGAGTATAGATGCACACCCTTGTTTACTTGCCTTCTATGTGAGAATGGCTATATTTGGCACGTGAGTTGTTCATGCGGTTATGAAGTGCAATGAGGGCACATGATGCCAGGTGTTAGGGTTCAGGTATTGGGACCCGTGAGTTGTGAATAGTATGATGTTCGGTATCTAGTGGAGGTTATTGGTTAAAACCCGTTGTGAAAGTGGTCGTTTATTGAGTTGTTATTTGCCTTTCATTTATTTGTGATCACCGGATTTAGACCGTGTTTCCGTACAAATGCTGTGTCATTATTATGGTATTCCGCTGATAGTTGTTGTTTTCCTTTCTTACTGAAATTACCGTATTATTTGCCATTTCGCATAGTCCTTATGTAGATATCATACTCTGTTGTTCCTATACTTATACTTGTTCAGGTTATTTAGTCCAGTATGTGTCTTGAATGTATCTCGTTACTACTCCATTGAGGTTAGTCTTGATACTTGTTGGGAACCGTCGTTGTGTACTCATACTACACTTCTACACATTTTTGTGCAGATTCGGGTATTTAGAAGTCCGTTTAGCATTAGCTAGCTGTGCGGATTGCTACTGTGGAGACTCAAGGTAAACTTGTCGCTGTGTTCGCAGGCTTCAGAGTCACCTTTTGATCTGTATTCACATTGTTTACTTTGTTTCAAACAGTTGTATTTAGAAAAATATAGTAGAACTCTGTAGAGCTTATGACTTGCACTACCAGTTTTGGGAATTGTAAATTTTATAGAGATTTCTATTTCAAAAACTGTTAGATGTTATTTAATTATTGTTGTTATTCAGTAAATGTTAGGCTTACATAGTCCCTAAGACTAGGTGCCATCACCATAACCAACGGAGGAAAAATTGGGTCGTGAAAGAATCACTGGGCACTTTGAGCTGAAATAGAGCATGATCCAGCAACTACATGTGAATGGGCAGTTTATGGGTCTTCCACACGAGGATCCACAACAGATTCACTCCAGACTATTAGTGATACTTATATCACTAACAGAGTCACTCCAAACTATGTGAGGCTCACATTGTTCCTGTTTTCTCTGTTGGGCGAAGCAAAGCGGTGGTTAAAGGCAGAACCAACTAATTATATTATATCATGGAATGATCTGTCGAGGAAATTTTTGACATGGTTCTTTCCTTCTTGCAAAACTGCAAAGATCAGAAGTGAGATAGTCGCCTTTAAACAGAAATAGGGGGAGTCTTTATATTCATCTTGGGAAAGGTTCAAGGGGATGCTCAAAGACTGTCATCATCACAACCAGACAAATGAAGTGTTAGCTCACACCTTCATTGAAGGGCTCCATCCAGAGATAAATATTATGGTTGACGTTGCAGCGGGAGGTCAAGTGTTGGAAAAAAACTTCGATGAGATATATGCATTATTGAACAAATTCTCCAAAAGCAATTCTGATTTGCAAGGAGAGATAGGTAAAAAAAACAGTTCAAAAATTCTTAGGGGTCCTCGAGATAGACATTTTTTCTGCATTATCATCGCAGGTTTCCATATTGTCCAATAAAGTCAATAAGATGACCATGATTATTAACAAGTAACAAGCTCAGCCAGTGCAACAAGTGCAGATATTTTGTGAAGTATGTGGAGAGGGTCACACGAGCGACTTATGCCCAACTAATCTAGAGTCTGTTTGTTTTGTGGGTAATGCAAATAGGGGCTAGACAAACCAGTATGGGAACACTTACAATCCTACCTGGAGGAACTACCCAAAATTCTCATGGGGTAGACACCAAGATGCTCGGAATCACTACAGGCCCCAAGCTCCTCAACAAAAATATAGACCACTATAGGCTGAATAATCTACAAACCAGACGAGTCACATTAACGAGATGCTAAAGAAATTGATGGCTGACCAGCAGGCCCAAGCATTAGCGATGAAAAATTTGGAGCGATAAATGGGACAACTTGCTAGTGCCCAAAATACTCGACCAGTTGGAGCTATTCCAAGAGACACTGAGGCTAATCCTAAGGCATCTATCAATGATGTGTCATTGAAGAATATGAGACAGTTAGAAGAAGTCCCATCAAAAAAGAGAAAACAAGTGACCTTTAACGAGAAATCGGCCACCATAGAAGCAGAATCAGAAAAGAAAAAAGTGTCAGAGAAGCTAGCTGAAGAGGCGGTGGTGAAGCAACCCCTACCATTAGTTGCGAGGCCACCACCCCCATTCCCTCAAAGATTGCAGAAAGTGAAGAATAATACTGCTTATAAAACATTTCTTGATATTTTTAAGCAGATGCAAAACAATATTCCGTTGATAGACATCTTGCAAGAAGTGCCCAAATATGCCAAATACATCAAGGACATAGTGGAAAATAAGAGGAGGTTGGTAGAGTTTGAGTCTGTGGCGCTTACTGAAGAATGTACCTTAAGAATGCAAAGCAAGGTACCTCAGAAATTGAAGTATCCAGGTAGTTTCACTATTAAAATCTCGTTTGGTAAGCACGCAGTCGAGCGAGCTTTGTGTGATCTTGGGGCGAGCATCAATTTGATGTCGCTCTCTGTGTTCAGACAATTGGGGTTTGGTGAGCCGCGCCCAACCACAGTGATTTTACAGTTGGCGGATCACTCCCTTGCTCACCCTGAAGGAGTTTCGAGTGGGTTCTGTTACATCCGGTATTTTCGTATGTTAAAGTTTCATCATAAGTTAATCGACGTAAGTTCAGGAATGAGATTATTTTGAGATTATGAGAATTATGCTATTTATAATAAGTGATTAGTAAAGTCGTGAAGGTTAGAGGGTAAACGAATCGAAGAAAATGAGTTTCGTCGAAGTTTGATATTTTGGGATAAAAAAAATAATGGCACAAGCTATAATACTCTGTATTTATGGACTGGTGCTATACCACATGACCATACTAGTAAGGTATACGAAGTCTATTAGTATTTAAGTGAAAGAAGACCTAGAAATTATTGTGTGACTAATTGGTATAAAGTTTGAGAATATGAAATTAGTATAAGTGGATAAGTGTAAATAAATTATGTTATTCACGTGGGACCATGGCAACTAAAGAAAGATGTGACTAATAGGTATTAATGGGTGACATTTATCGGATAAGTCATGATTTTCAAAGTGGTAGCAAAAGCGGGTGGACCCCATTGTCCACTAACTACAACTATTACCTTTACTTTTTGACGGAAATATGTATATATATCAAGTATAATCTTGGATAGTTACTATTATTACTATTTTCAGATATGCTTTAAATTATACACTTGATACAAGAAAGTTTATAAATGAGATTTTCTTTGTTATAAAGATAAAAATTATTTTCTCATAATAATAATTATCTTTACCAATTTTTAGAATTTATAGTATAAAAATCTAGACTTTTGATGTTAGATGGGAAATATTAGAATTGGATATAATATTTTTTTTACCAATGTCATAATCTTCACGTCTCGATGAAATATTAGTGTATGTTTTAACTTCATAAAATGCCATGGTTTATTAGTAATTAAATATTTCCAAAGTTCTATGTTAGGATGAAGACAAAATGATTAGTATTTTCTTTAACTGTTCTAGGTGGGTTTACGTGAACTTGCTCGCATAATAGATATATATATANATGTCATAGTATATTATTAAATTATTAGATAAGAAGATTAAGTTTCTTTCTTTATTTAATCAGTCTATTTCAATGTGCTATCTTTCTATATGTATATACTTAAAAGGGGGAGTGGCCACAAAAGAGTTTTTACGCATGTTATATCTTTTTGGATGAAGTTATAAAGATAGCTTCATGTTAGTATATATATATATATATA